TCCTAAATGCCGAGCCTTTAAAACTCCTCAAAATGAAGGTCCCAGTGTGCTCTCCCTTCAGGAAGTATATTCATGCCATTCCCTTCCCCCTCTCCTCCTACCCCAAGTAACCCCTAACCTCTAATGGATCCCATGAGACTTGCAACCAGGGGAGCAAAGCACCCCCCGACATCCTCTAACTGCCCAGAGCTTATGCAGCCCAGCCTAGACTCTCTTGTTGCTTCTTCTATGCCCTTACTTGTTTCACTTTCCTAAATATATTTTTGCTGAGGTCAATAAATTCTTGCTTGGTTTTTTATATTTTGTCTCTTGATTGAAATTTTTCCCTTTGAAGACAAAAACCAAGGGCTTCTCAGCTTCTCCTCTCACCAGTAACAACTCAGGCACAATGCCCACTGGTTTTTACAGCCCAAAGTTACAGGAACTTCTCTTCCTAGCACTGGAACCCTGGGCTGGGGGCCTGGTGTGGGGCTGGGATCACTTGCTCTTCATGGGAGACCTCTTCAGCCATGATATCCTTCCCGATTAAAAACACGCCACACATAAAAAGAAAAAGAAAAAGTAAGTAAATAAATAAATAAAAACACACCACACCTGGGTGTCAGAACAGCCTGTTCTGTGCCTCCACCCTTCTACCAGTTTCAATGTGTTTTTTTCTTTAATTCTCTGGTTGTAGGACTTCCATTCAGTCACATTTCAGGGGTTTCTGAATGATGGTTGGTGTGTATTTTAGTTGTAATTTTGATGTGGTTGTAGTAGGATACAAGTATTGGCATTTACCTTTGCTGCCATCTTGGTTCCTCTATTCTTTTTCTAGTTCTTTAAAATATACTGTTTGGCTGTTTAGTTGGGATTTCTCTTGTTTCTTGAGATAGGCTTGTAATGAGATAAATATTCCTCTTATTGCTTTACCTGCATCCCAGAAGTTTTGATATGTCATATTGTCATTCTTATTTATCTCTATATAGCTGCTGATCTCACTTTTTTTTTTTTTGACCCATCATACAGTAGTATGCTGTTCAATCTCCACATATCTGTGTGGGTTTTTTTTTTAACTTCCTTTTTGCAGTTGATTTCCAATTTCAAAGCATTGTGGTCAGACAATATGCCTGCTATGATTTTAATGTTCTTAAATTTGTTGAGGCTGGTTTTGTGACCCAACATATGGTCTATCCTTGAGAATGTTCCATATGCACTGGAAAAGAATGTATAGTCTGATTCTCTGGAATGAAAGGCTCTGTTAATATCAATTATGTCCATTTGGTCTAATGTGTCATTTAAGACAATATTTTTTATTGATTTTCTTTTTGGATGATCTATCTAGAGCTGTTAATGGAGTATTTAGGTCCCCTAATATGATTATTTTTGTCAGTTTCTCACTTTAGTTCTGTTAGTTGTTGCTTTATATTTTTGGTGCTCACTGATTTGGTACATATATATTAAGTGGTGTTATGTCTTCTTGATGTAGTGTCCCCTTTATCATTATAGAATGTCCATCTTTGTTTCTTGCTACTTTTGTTATCTTAAGATCTTTTTGTCAGACATATGTATGGCTACATCTGGCTTTCTGTGGATGTTATTTGCTTAGAGAATCATTTTCTACCTTTTCACTTTGAATCTACCCTTGTCTTTGCAGCTTAAATGTGTCTCTTATGGGCATCATATGGTTGGATTATGTTTTTTGATCCAATCTCCTACTCTTGAACTCTCCATTGGTGAATTCAGGCCATTTACATTGAGGGTAATTATTGATGTATGAGGATTTCCTTTTGCCATTTTATCTATTATTTTCTGGTAGCTCTGTGCCTCCATTGGTTCTTTTCCTTTGTGTTTCTATATGATGTTTTTATTTGGTGATATTCCATACTTCTTTCCTCTGTTTCGTCTTTTTTTGAACGATGTGTCTCAGTGTTTTTTTGTGTTTATCTTTAGGTTTATAAAAAAGAAAGTTTCATATATAGAGTAGGACCTACTCAGTAGGTTTTTCTTTTTCTTTTGAATGCATCTGATCTCCATCCTCCTTGCAAATCCAGACCCTTTACTCCTCCCTTTTTATGTTTTTGTTGTCACAAATTATCCCTGTTTATGCTGTAAGTTTGTTGGTGAACTTACTAGTAGTGTGGTGACCTTTTGTTTTTTTGTTTCAGGTAGAATCACCCCCTTGAGTATTTCCTGCAATGGAGGTCTTCTGGTGATAAATTCCCTCAGCTTCTGTATGTCTGGAAAATATTTTATTTCTCCTTCATATTTAAAAAATAACATTGCTGGATACATTATTCTTGGCTAGTAATTTGTCTCCTCCAGTAGTTTGGATATTTGGTCCTACCCTATTCTGGCTTATAGAGTTTCTGCTGAGAAGTCCAATGATAACCTGATGGGCTTTCCTTTATAAGTCACTTCCTTCTTTTCCCTGGATGCCTTGATAATTTTTTCTTTGTCATTAACTTTTGACACTTTTAATACAATGTGCTTTGTAGATGGCCTCTTTGGATTGAAGTAACCAGGTGTTCTGTTTGCTACTTGAATTCAAGGATCTAATTTTTTTCCATATGATCTGGAAGTCCTCATTAACTTTTTGGGCTAATAGGTTTCCTTTCCCTTCTTCCTCTCTTCTTCTTCTGGTATGTCCATTATTCTTTTATCACTTTTTGTGATTTAGTTTGATAGAGTTATATTGATTGATTGATTGATTGATTGCTCACATCTCTCTCACCTTCCCTCTGTGTCATTTCTAGAATTCTATCTTCAATATCGATAATTCTTTCATCCATCTGGTTGGCTCTATTTCTTATGCTTGCAAGTTTATTTCTGACCACTTTTATGAATTCTTCATATCCAGGGTTTCTGTTTGGTTCTTTTTAAAAATGTCAATCTATTTGGTAAAGTACTTGTTTTGTTTGTTAATTTATTTTCTGAGTGCATTAAATTGCCTCTGTATTTTCTCACATCTCATTAAGTATTTTAAGAAATGCAATCTTGAATTCTCTGTCATTTATATTACATATTTCCATATGTCCAAACATGCTTACTGGAGATTTTTTATTTTCTTTCTGAGCTTCCTTTCTACCATGGTTATTCATGGTGTTTGGTGGGTTCCTTCTCTGTCTAGGCATCTACATATGAGTGACAATTAGATATCAATTATGTCAACTATGAAGAGTTCTTTCTATTATATTTCAGTAAGTGGTGCTGAATCACAAATTTTTTAGCTCTGTGAAAACCCATAGCTAATGCCCATGGCTGCTGTCAGTGTGGCTGCCATACTTGGGTGTGGTGTTGTCTGGGGGTATTTGGCTGCCTTCTTTGTTTTGCCTTCTTGGTAATGGTGACCTTGGACCTCTGCCCAGTGTGCCCCAACTTGGAATAAGTCATAGAGTGTACACTTTGCTGAGGAGAAATAGTGATTCTGTAAAAACAGTTATTGGGTTTACAGATAACTTGCTCAGCCACTTGGTATAAAAAGCTCTATGGCTTTCTTACTTTGTCTGGAGTGTCAACCACCCAAAAGCTGTGGCAGAACCCCTTTGCTCTGTCCTTGCCCAGGTATCTTGGCTCAGTTGCAACTTGCACTGCTCACTCCCACAAGAGTTCCCACCCAGTCTCTCTGCTTCTCCCAGCTGAAGGACGAATGAGCCACAACTGACTTCCTCCCCTTCTCTGGGATGAGCATTGCTTTGAGATCCTCACTGCAGGGCTGCATCCATTGTTATTCTAAGCCCTCATCCCTTCTTGTCTCACCTGTTTCAGCCCACCTTTTGATGTTTCAATATGTGGATCTCTCAGTGTGTCTGTATGTTGAGCAGGGAATCCTTTGTTGAGTTTTAGCTGTTCAAATTGTTTGAAATTTCAGGGGGAGAGTCCAAGGGAATCTCACATGCTACAATTCCTTGATATCACTCAAACAGTTTTTCTTTACGGGATTTATATAAATTTTTTGGGCAACTCATGCAAAATCAATGTGAAAATATGCAAGCACATATTTAACAAATTAACTTGTAATATGATGATTAGAATACTGATGTTGTAATTATAGACACAATGTTTAAGAAATTTATTATGAATGGATTAAATATTTTATAGAAAAAAGAGTCTCCATCCCAGCATTTCTATCTCCCAGTCACATTGATTACATATATGCATAAAAACCACAATTGGGTTATTTTATTGATCAAATTAACTAAATAGTTGCTCGATTTATTCATCAATTTATGGTGCATAAATATAGTAAACAACTTAAGAGTTTTATAGCAATATCCATAATTACAGAAATGTTGAAAGCCATAGCAATTACTGTACAAGTATGTAAAATAAATATTTCATTTTTGGTCAAATGTATTATTTCAAACTAAAAACTCTCAACAATACTAAGGAATGGATATTGATAATTCTTAATGTAACTGTGGAAAACCCATTATTGTATCCTATGACAATCAAACCATTTTGTTTTCAGAATTTGACATAAATTCTTAAGATCTGATATATTGCAGGTATATTAAGTCCATATTGTTTGTGCAGAAAGGCTAAACATGTACTAATTGCCATATTTGCAAGTTTCATTCCAGAGTTCTCAAATGTTTACTTTTGAGATATGGCCTTCTTACTTAGACAGTAGGATCACTCTCCAGATCTTGGCATGAACTTTATGTCAATGGAAGTGCTTACAATAACAATAAACATTCACCACGCCCCCGGATTTACAATCTTTTTGAATTTTCTAGGAAAGCAAATGGAAGCAAACTTTTATTGAGCCTCTACTATATATCTGACATAGCACAGAGTCCTTTTGCTTTCTTCTCTTATTGAACTTTCATTATATTCCATTAATTTTATAAGAAAATATATAAGCTTTTATTTAAAGATATGTGTTTAAGACCAGGTAATGTGGATGAGCATGCTTTCAAGATAAGTGAGAGATCAAAATTTCAAATGTTATAGATTCAACAAATATGAAAATCTTGGTGCACAGATGGAATTTCCTTTTGTGCTTTCTTTTGTGTCAGGAAAGGATCCCAGAGAGTCCTTCTCCTGCTCCCTCTCTGGAAGAGAATCATCGCCCTGGGAGCCAGACCTCCTCTCACCCCAGCAGCAGTATATCCAGCTCCCCCTCTCAGATGGATCACCATTCAGACAGAATGGGTGAGTATTTCACCTGAAGAAAGGATTTTAAATATATTCTTTCAAGAAATCCTTCATTAGGTAATACAGAGGGGGAAAGGAAGCTGGAGGGGCTGATGCTGCCTTAGTATAAATGGCTTTTTGAAGTGGTATTTTTTTTTATTGCTGAAGCAATATGAATAACAAAATGAAACTTAAAATATTGAAAGTCTGTTTTCTGGTAGGGCTTTCATTTACTGTATCACTGGATCTCATGGAAATAATATGATGGTAATTTTACAGAGTGTTTGTTAGTTCAGTATGTTGGTATTTAACAGCTAGTGTGATTCAATAAACTTCTTATATTCACAACATCCTTTAAAATTGAAGTTAAAATGTCCTTTAGGCAGTTTATTGTTTCAATGATTAAAGAGTCAATCAATATATAGCTTGCTACAATTTCAAATCTTGGATCACAAATATTTTATATGCTTTTCCCTACAATTTTTTAATTGTCTTAGATGTCTTACACTATAGACACAATTTCAGAATACTGTTACTGTTGGTGATGTGGCATATTAAATACTTCAATCTATCCATAGTTCTGGCACTAAATAAGTAGGAAATCTTGAGTGTGTCACTAAACCACCACCACTTTCTTTATCTAATATGAAAATAACTACTGTCCTGCCTAATAGAGTGGATTTTTGTGAGGTCAAATGAAATAATATGTGGAAAAACAGAATTTTAAAGTGATAAAGAAAAGTGAGGAATAAACACTATTTTTTTTATGTGTGCCTTTACCTTGATTGTTTATCATATCCTTCTGTCTGATCTTACTGGGGTATATAGACATTACTAAGTGCATTCATTCAATTGTAACAAATTCTCATTTAGTATATAATTATGAGCTAGGTAAAATCTTTGTTAATCTTCTGTACCTACAGAATCCAATTTCCTGAGTATCTATTTCCTTCACAGAAAAATGAATTCTGAGCGTTTTTTAGTTTTACTATAGAGGCATTCTTTATTTGAACTCTAAATTTTTAGATTTCCCAATAATGATTTCTTCAAGCCTTTCAAAAATAATGATTTTCCCCCCAGGGATGGGGTGAGGTGGGGAGGAGAGGAACTGAAGGATTAGGGAAGGTGTTAGGTTCTGAATTTGTGCTGGGGAAGAATGAATATGATTTCTCTCTTGCGGAAATTTATCCAAGTCTTGCGTAGCCTGTCAACATTACATGTTGTTTATAGCTTTTTTAGCTTTACAGTGGGCACAGTGGGTCTCAAATCTAGATCCTCATTAATGAGTAACTGAGAAGAGAGGAAAGGGAGATATTTATTTATTTATTTATTTATTTATTTATTTATTTATGTGTGTGTAGATAATTATTTATGGAGTTCTGGCTAAAAGCAGAGCACATAGGGAAATGTATTCTGTGACGGATATATCATAAAATAATTATATCTTACACTTAGAAGTAAAATCAAGTATTTCCAAAGGAATATAATATTCTAAAAAAATTCTGACAACATAAAACATTTCTATTTTCTCTGGAAGTAGTCTTTCAATTACTTTCCAAATCATCCAAGCAGAATAGTGAGGTTGTCTATAAATGAAAAAGAAGGTTTGAGGATTTTTATTTTAAAGTGACCATATATTATTTATATAACTATGTAATGTTTTAACAAAATATAATTAAAGAAAATTAAATGATAACCTATGAAAATTGGCATGATTTCCCTCTTTAAATATAAAATTTGTGCAGTAACACATAATAATTAACAGAAAGCTGTATTTTATCTATTAATTTTACTGCATATATGTGCAAGACTCTATAGAGTGACATAATGCATACTTATTTTAATTCATGAACTTAAGTGGTAAATTCTATTCAGAAGCATTTTGGGAAATATTAATTACAGAGGTAAAAATCTAATTTGCATACACATTTTTAAAAAAATATTTAAAATGATTTATGTTGGCCCTAGCTGACTTGGCTCAGTGGATACAGAGTCAGCCTGTGGATTGAACGGTCCTGGGTTCAATGCTGGTTAAGGGCACATGCCCAGGTTGTGGGCTTGATCCCCAGTAGGGGGCATGCAGGAGGCAGCCAATCAGTGATTCTCTCTCATCATTAATGTTTCTATCTCTCACACTCCCTCTTCCTTCTTCTCTGAAATCAATAAAAATATATTTTTTAAAAAGGATTTATGTTGGCACTTATATATCTAATACATTAATTTTATTTTTAAAAATCACATAATTAAGCAGCTAATTGATTTGTAAATTATATTATCAGATCAACACAAATTTTTATTGTTTTAAAAGAAGTACATAAAATTAATGTTAGTTGTTATTGAAATACAATAGCCATTTACACAATGCTTTTTTGCCTTTCTTTTGAGTGATTTGCAAGAAAATCACTCAGTTATATCTCTATTTACAGTTATGATGTCGAATAATAGAGAGGAAGTTATTGTTGATCAGGAAAATGGACCAACCATCAAAAAATTCCAAAGAGATAATAAAGGTAAAATGATTTTTGCTTATTTGATGTACATATAAAGGTCAGATACTAACTCAATTAACATCCCAGTACTGTATATTGCATACATATTTCCTCAAGTCAGAATAGATTCATATTGGCTTTAGATAAGTTATTTTTATAGTAAAAAATAGTGCTTACCTGAAGCTTGTTTATTTGATGTTATAAATTACATAATCAGCCTGAAATATGTCTGTGCCTGTGGTTGGGAACATAATCCCAAAGCCCTTTTATTATGCCTGATTTGAGACATCTGACCTTCTTTTTTACAATTTTACATGCACTTTGCTAACTATTTTTAAATGACTCACCATTTGAGGCTTGTGTGTGAAAAACTGAGTTGCTGTCATGAAAGAGAGATATTCCCATCAATCCTCAAAAGTGATTTTAAGAATGTTTGCTAGATCATTCCAATTGAGGAACCAAGATGGCAATGAAGGTAAATGGTGGTACTTGCATCCTCCCACAATCATATCAAAATTACAACTAAATTACAGAACAACTATCATTCAGAAACGCCACAAATCTGACTGAATGGAAGTGTTACAACTAGAAAGTTAAAGAAGAAAACACATACAGACTGGGAAGAAGGGGCGGAGGCATGGAACAGGTGGTCTGACACCCACATATGTGTGTTTTTAATCAGAAGAGATATCTTGGCTGAGGAGGCTTCCCATGAGGAACAAGGGGCCCCAGCTCCGCACCAGACCTCTATCCCAGAATTTCAGAGCCAGGAAGAGGCATCCCCATATCTCTGGGCTGTAAAATCCAGCAGAGATTGTGGCTGAGTGACACAGAGGCTGCAGGAGTACCAGTCAGTTTCTCTTAAAGGACTTGCACATGGACTTACTTGGATTCATTTTCTCTGAGCTCCAGCACTGTGGCAGCAGCTTGAAAGAGTCCAGGGACATACGGGGATGAACTAAATTGTGTGGCATCAGCACAAGAACTCAGGGGCAGATTTCTCCTCGTTAAAGTGCTGGGAATTTCCCTCATAGAACTGACTGGTAGGTACTATATCTGAGATTCCATCTACCTGGCCCACACTATTTGTCCCAACCTGGTGATTCCATGAGATTCTTCCCCACACAATTTGCAGCCATACCCAAGTTGTTTGCAGTGTCTTTTCCACACAAATGGTCTATCCTGGCTCAGGATTTAGGCTTTCCTAAAATCTCTCAAACAAGCAGCAGCTGGACTCAGTGTGCCCCATACCTCTTGGTAAGTTGCCAAAGGCCTGACACTAGCAGCAGCTGGCCAAGGTTCACAGTTTAGCTTCTCCTGAACATATCTAAACCCAAAACAATAGCAGCCATCTGCAGATGCTCTGGAGCTCATGCTGGCTGGCCCCAGACAGGGCAAAGGCGGTGGCTTACTTTGCACCTCTGAAGAGGCCCCAGAGCCACTGCACCTGGTAGACAGCTTCAGATGATACCAGCTTCCACCTCTACCATGTGCATGAACAATACACTTATGGGACAGACACATAGAGCACCAAAGCCCCACTGAAACAAGTCCTGCTCCATACAGGTGTGTCCTTCACAGCAGATCTTCCACTGTAGACACAGCAGGTCCTCACAGCCATTTGGCCTGGGGGTCAATTTCTGTTAGTGACACCCACAGAAATCAAGGCTCAACTACAACAGGACAGTGCAAACAGCCCACACAGGCATGCACCTAGAGTGCCCAGCTCAGATGACTGGGGAGGTTGAGCCACTGGGACTTATAGGACACCCATTACACAAGGGACTCTACCAATTCCAGGAGACAAAGCAGCTCTACCTAATACGTAGAAACAAACACAGGGAAGCACCCAAAATGTGGAGACAAAGAAACATGTCAAAAAATATAAAACAGAAGAAATATTCAAAAATAGAACTAAATTAAATGGAAGCAAGCATACTACTAGATACAGAGTTCAAAACAATAGTTATATAGATGCTCAAGGAACTTAATGATAACTTCAAGAAACAGTGAAAATATCAAGGAATTTAGTGATACTTTCAAGGGAATTAGTGAGAACATCAAAGACATGAAAAAGGAGCAGTCAAAAATGAAGGTTACACTAACTGAAATGAAGAATAATTTACAGGGAATCAACAGTAGAGTAGAGGATGCCAAGAATCAAATCAACGATTTGGAATATGAGGAAGCAAAAACACAAAGAAAAACAAACAAACAAACAAACAAACAAAACACCTAATCAGAAGAGAAAAAGAAAAAGAAAAAAAAAGAAAAGAAAAGAAAAGATAATAATCCAAAAATATGAAGATAGCACAAGGAGCCTCTGGGACAACTTCATGAATACCAGCATTCACATCATGGTGGTGCTGGAAGGAGAAGAGAGGGACTATGAAATTGAAAACCTATTTGAAGAAATAATGACACAAAACTTCCCCTATCTGGTGAAAGAAATAGACTTACAAGTCCAGGAAGTGCAGAGAGTCCCAAAAAGATGAACCCAAAGTAGCCCACACCAAGACACATCATAAT